AAAAAAAAAAAAAAAAGTAGAAAAACTTATTCAGGTATGGTGGCTCAGTCCTAGCTCCTCAGAAACAAAAACAATAAAACAACTTTTTGGCTCATGTGTGTAAAAAGCCCAACTTTTGTAGGCATTGCAGGAACCTGAGATTAATCACATCTTATTCAAAGACTCTGGATGGCTCTTCCTGGAGCGCAAGCCTCACCTGGCAGGGGGCTGGTGCCAGAGCCACAGGAAGTAGGTACTCCCCCCAAAGAAGGTGGTTCTACCAGGAGAAAGGATGGCGTTTCCACAGTCCATTACTTTCACCGTGTTTGATAGGTAGCCTTATGTTCTGCATCAGAGAAATAATTCTACTTTCTTCTATAATGCAGATGCTGTAACTAGGATAAAGCAACAACTGCATTTTCTCAGCCTGTGGTTATGGTTGTTGTCAAGGTTCTAGAGTGGCGGCTTTTTTTTTTAAGAGACAAAGTCTCACTTTGTTGTCCTTGGTAGAGTGCTCTAGTGTCACAGCTCACAGCAACCTCCAGCTGTTGGGCTTGGGCGAGTCTCTTGCCTCAGCCTCCTGCGTAGCTGGGACTACAGGCGCCCACCACAACACCTAGCTATTTTTTGTTGCAGTTTGGACGGGGCTGGGTTCCAACCCACCACCCTTGGTATATGGGGCTGGCACCCCACTCACTGAGCCACAGGCACCGCCCTAGAGTGATGATTTTCAACCTGTATGCTGCATCACGCTGGTGTGCCATGAAAACTTTTAAAGATCATTAATTAAATTATTTTCAAAAGATGTTCACAGCACAATCAGCATATTCTCTTCTTTTTTGATCAACATAATTCAGATGTGCCGTGGAAGTTTAACTATAGGTTCAAGTGTGTGGTGTGATAAAAAAAGTTGAGAAACACCGTTCTGGAAGGAGCTCTCACTTCCGCCCGGCTGGCTTGCCCTGGGTTGTCACGTCGTGTGTGCCCACGTGCCCGTAACCGGCTTCAGCACCGTGCGGCCGCGTTGTCTTTGTTGCATTTTCCCTGCTGTGGACCCAGCTACGGTGCAGTAATTCAGTTTAACCTCAAAACAATACTGTGGTAAAACAATTACCTGAACTTTTTTTAATTTTTAAAAAGCATAAAATTCCAAAGCTGGAAGTGATATTTGAACTTCTCAATAAGCTTAATTTGCAAAGTATAGAGTACCCCCAAAGTGGCATATTTGGATTATAACCAAATGCTGTTTCAATTTTATTTTATTTCCCCTTTTAAAAGTTTTTAATTTTTTTAAAAGTTCATTTAAATTTATAGAGTCAAATATAATTTAATTACATGCATAAATCACATGGTGGTAAAGTCAGGTCTTTAAGGCATCTATCATCTGAGTAACATACATCATACCCATTGAATAATTTCTTGTCTTCCACCCCCCAACCCCTTTTGAGTGTCCATTGTCATTTTAAATGACTGAATAGTTAAGTGGGCACGGGCCATGTAAAGCAGGGTATGGAATGAATGGATCTTTTAAGTGACATTTTTCTCTCCACTCAGGGCTCTGGGTATGCCTGTAGGTTCTATGTGTAAACCAGGGGTCCTCAAACTTTTTAAACTTTTTAAACTTTTTAAACAGCGGCCAGTTCACTTAGCTGCTAAGCAGGATAGGCAGCGGTGGCAGAAAGACCCAGCGGTTTGGATAAATGTCTTCGGCAGGCCGCATGTGGCCCATGGGCCATAGTTTGAGGACCCCTGGTTAAACTCCTGAGAGACACATCTGAGAGGCCACGTTCCATGCTGTGGGTGCTGGTGCTGCAGCAGCAGACACCTGCAGGACCTCCGTTCTCAGGAGCATGGGGGTGGGTAATGAGAAAGGAAACTGTCACAAGTGTATTTGCAACATTCCTGAAATCCGAGATTATTTCAAAACTAAAGATTTTTTCATGACAAAAGAAAAAGCAAATTAGCAAGAGAATTTCAGGTGGGACTTACTCCTGTGGGGAATGTAAGAGGGATGTAATAGGAGTGCGTGGGGCAGGAGCCACTGGGTGTTATGGAACATGTCCCTGAGGAGGTGACAGATGTGCCGAGAGATGAAAAGTAAGGGAGCCCTGCAAAGATCTGAGGACAGGCACTGCCCTGGCGGTGGGACTGGGCTCAGACCCAGAGACCTGGAGACCAGGCTGCAGTCCCTGACGGCTGGAGCTTGGCAAGAGTGGTCAGAGGGCAGGAGGGGACCGCTGCTTGCCAGGCTTGGTAGGAAGCCCAGTGAGGGACTTGCATGTCATCCCACCTGCTGCAGGAAGCCATGCAGTGTTGAGAGCCATGACATAGTCTTCTTCAAATTTTAGAAAACATCACTTTAGCTGCCGTGAGCAACATAGGCTGTATCTAATGAGAGCAGAAACTGAAAGTCCAGATAAAGGGATTTCACGGTGGCTTGGGCAAGAGATGATGGTAGCCTGGTGCCAGGGCCAAAAGAGGTGATTTAAATGCCAAATAATAGGACTTGCTGATGGACTGGGTATGGCAGTTTAAAAAAGTACAATCAAGGCTCCATACCCGTAGCACAGTGGTTGCAGCGCCAGCCACGTACACCGAGGGTGGCGGGTTTGAACTTGGCCCAGGCCAGCTAAACAACAGTTAAACAACTGCAACAAAAAAAATAGTTGGGCATTGTGGTGGGCCCCTGTAAAGTACAAAATTTATAGAGTACAAATAAAGGGTGGCTAAGGCAAGAGACTTGCTTAAGCCCAAGAGTTTGAGGTTGCTGTGCACTGTGACAGTACAGCACCCTACTGAGGGTGACATAGCGAGATTCTTGTCTCAAAAAAAAAAAGTGGCTCCGCGCCTGTGGCTCAAGCGGCTAAGGCGCCAGCCACATACACCTAAGGTGGCGGGTTCGAATCCCCAGCCCAGGCCCGCCAAACAACAATGATGGCTGCAACCAAAAAATGGCCGGGCGTTGTGGCGGGCGCCTGTAGTCCCAGCTACTTGGGAGCCTGAGGCAGGAGACTTGCTTGAGCCCAGGAGTTGGAGGTTGCTGTGAGCTGTGAGGCCATGGCACTCTACCCAGGGGGATAGCTTGAGGCTCCGTCTCAAAAAAAAAAAAAAAAAAAAGTGCAGTCAAGGATGGCTTGTGGGGTTGGCTTAAGCAACTTTTTGAGTTGGAGATGATAGGAAGAACATTCTGGAGAGGGAAATCAAGCTCTGTTTTATACATAATTAAGTCTGAGCTGTCTGGAAGAGGGAAGGAGCCCACAAAGAGCATTAAGCAGTCACAGGGACAGGAGAAAAACCAAGAGTGAGTTAGAGGCTTGTAACCTGCCAGGAAAGGGTTTCTAGAAGGTGGGGAGCAGTGACACAGTGAGGGGTGGGAAGCTGAGTGAGGTGAGACGAGGCCTGCTGGACTTGGCAGTAGGGAAGGCTTCAGGTGGGCTGGTGGGATGGAGGGGACATTTGCATGGGTGGGAGGTTGGGAGACAGCAGTGGGGACACAAGGATAGTAGGGGAGTGGCCAGAGCAGGATTAGGGACTAGAGAGCATGTATTGTTTTTTTGTTATTGTTTTGTTTTGTTTTGTTTTGCGGTCTTTGGCCGGGGCTGGGTTTGAACCCGCTACCTCCGGCATATGGGGCCGGCGCCCTACTCCTTTGAGCCATAGGCACCACCCCAATATGTATTTTTTTTTTTTTTTATAGTTGTTGTTGTTTAGCAGGCCCAGGCCGAGTTCGAACCCACCAGCCCTGGTGCGTACAGCAGGCGCCCTAACTGTTGAGCTATGGGCGCCAAGCTCATATGTTGTATTGTTCTAATTTGTTTTTAAATTGCAGTACTTCAGAGCCTATTTGTGGCGGTGGAACAGTTCAGCAGAGAGGAAGAAATTAATGCAAGAGAGAAAGTCTAATTAGAAAGCAAAGTCCTTGATGGGCCGGGGCCAGGATTGATACCATAAATGGAATTAGTGGTTCTTAGATAGGAGCCAGGGACATGTCTGTTAAAACAGGAATGAGGCAGCGAATGTGGATATAAATACTCTGCGTTAATAACTCACGGTGCCAAATTGAGGAGCTTGCCGTTGGATACATTGATTTCTCAATGAAATGTGAGGTGAGGCTGAGAAGGGGAGGCGTTGGTAGGGATTGAGGGGGAGGTGAGAGAATGAAGTTGGCAAGTGGGAAAGCCAGCGCACCACCCAGGGACATGCTGGGAAGGCATGGGAGCCGCAAGTCCCTTTTGAGATTCAGCGTCATGACATCGAGATTAGTCGCTTAGTGGTGTGATTTTTCTCTGGAACCTTTCACTACTGTGTAGATGGATCACCGGGTTTAGCCAGTCTGTTTTTCTCAGTGGATGCTTCCTAAGGAGAGAGAAGCAGATGCACTGAGGGTGTTCGCCTGCTAAGTATATGACCAGCTGGAGGTGCAGGTGAGGCGAGGTGAGGATGTGCAGCACTGGGGGTAGTTAACCGTGGACTCCGGGGGTAGACGTCTGTCCTAGATGCAGAAAGGTGCCGAGGCCTGGACACAGTAGGATACTGGGAACAGATTTAGGAGGAGGTGGTTTGGAAACTGTGTATCAAGGATGTAAAGGTGCTTGGAGCAGAGGAAGACGGTTGGAGGAGAAGAGGCCCGAGGGCTGAGAGACCAGGGTGTTTGATGGAGCATCCGAGGGGATGATGAAGATCCAAGAGTGGTGACAAGAATAGGGACAAGGAGGGAGACAGTGAGCCCGCGCTCATTTGATCAAAATACCCAGACTCTTAGTTGCTGAAACTGCGTTTTGACACAGAAGAATACCTGAGTTGCACACAGCAGGGAAGGTGGGAGCTCAAGGCTCATGTTGGTGAGATGCTTTGGGGGACAGCAGTGATGACCCGTCTGTCATAGTTAACACTTGAATGCCTCATCCTGTTCGCAGACGCTGCTGCGGCTTCAGCAATGGTGTCTGCCTCCGCCCCTTCTGTGTACAGCGTGCAAGCCCTCTCTCTCCTGGCAGAGGTAAGCGCACACCTGACTTGTCGTTCCTGATGGAAGGCAGTGCTGTCCCCAGTCCTCCTGAAGGTATTCCTCATGCTTGGCCTACACTCCCAGATGGCTCCTCTGGCAGTGTTGGCCCCAGGCTGCTGCACCCTGGAATTTTCTGGTTAGGTTTTGCACTTACTGTCACATCCTACCCAAAAGTCTTGTTTTCTTAACCAGGTGTTGTGGCGGGCACCTGTAGTCCCACCTACCTGGGAGGCTGAGGCAAGAGGATCACTTAAGCCCAAGAGTTGAAGGTTGCTGTGAGCTGTGACGCCAGGGCACTCTACCAGGGCAACATAGTGAGACTCTGTCTCATAAAAAAAGTCTTGTTTTCTTAAGGTCTCATTCTTTTAGGCTCTGGCTTCTCTCTTGGACATGGTTTATCGGAGCGATGAGAAGGAGAAAGCAGTGCCATTGATCTCCCGTCTGCTTTATTACGTCTTCCCTTACTTGCGCAATCATAGGTAACGTCTGCTGCGTTTCTTCCCACGCACATGTGGAAAAATGTTTAGAGAAATGACTCAAGTGCTTTTCCTTAAACAGTCTTTGACCTTGGCCCTTGTCTCTTCCCACTCCCAATTAGCGCCTACAACGCTCCCAGCTTCCGTGCAGGCGCTCAGCTGCTGAGCTCCCTGAGTGGCTATGCCTACACAAAGCGAGCCTGGAAGAAGGAAGTTCTGGAACTGTTTATGGACCCTGCTTTCTTTCAGATGGATTCTTCTTGTATTCAGTAAGAAATGGTGTCCTGGTAAAAAAAAAATGTGCTCTGAGTCTTCTTGGGGAAGCTGTTTTGGTTTGTGTAACTAATTCTTGTTCCCAGGATGGGAGCAGACCCAGAGCCCGAACCCAAATAATAGGATGGAGTGATCACAGGCTCACACGCTGACTGTGTGCTCATGGGAAAGAAATTAAGTCTTTTATAATGTAGGGCCACTTTGTTGTTAAAAGAAGAATTTCACTTACTTAAGAGAACATATTATTCCCAAAGAACAGTGATGGTTGGTCTATCTACTGTGTTTCCCAGAAAATAAGACCTACCCCAAAATAAGCCCTAGCAGGATTTCCATGCATTTGTTAAATATAAGCCCTACCCCGTAATAATACCTAGTGATGGGCGTAGCTATGCAGTGTATCTGCATTTCGTATCCCTGCATTTCAGTGCAGAGCGGTAAGGAAGACTGGAATACCTTTTATCTGCCACAGCTCCTTTCTCTGAGCTGTTTGCACTTATGCAGGTGCGCATGTGGTAACCCTGGTCACAGGCATCGTATTGCACACGTGCAAACGGCTAGGGGAAAGGAGTTCACACATCACTAGCGCCAGCCCCACCAACAAGGTCAGCTCCTTCTGTCAGGTTCCAGAAGAAGATGACTTAACTGTATTTGAATAAATGTAGATTGTTGTATTATACTTAATAAAAATAAGACATCCCCTGAAAATAAGCCCTAGTGTGTCTTCTTGAGAAAAAAATAAATATAAGACAGTATCTTATTTTCGGGGGAACACAGTAGTACCAGTTTATCTTGTGATCACAAAATATTTGACCAGTGTTAAGATGACAGAACCTACTGGTGATCCTCTGGTATCTTTGCCCCACTCAGCTTACACTCCACAAGTTCTCACTGAGACCTTGCAATAGGCGAGGCAGAGAGCCTCAGAGACACAGGTGTGAGACTCGCTTCCTGGGCCTTTCCCTTGGAGGGCAAGGACACCACTCAGGAACTCTTCCCCCTGGCTTGGAGAGTCTTTGTTAATGTGAAGGAGGCTCAGGAACAGAGGATGGAGATGGGGGCAGCCTTTTTGTATGGCCTGAAAATCTGTCCTGCCATATCCAGAGGGCCACTTGGCACCCTGCAGCTTTCATTCCCATGATCCTATTGCTCTGCTGGGGGAGCCCATTTGGAAGTAAGAACTAAGAGTGATAGTTGTCTTCGTTACCCCGCATCTTTCTCCCAACATGACTGTATGAGCGTCATCCTGTCTGAACACACTGAAGGGCAGCCCTGGAGAACACCAGACCGCCCGGTCGGTGTACGCTTCCTTTACAGTAAACTGGGAAAGGTCAATCTTCATTCCCTGTGTGAGGATTATAAACAAAAAGCTTTCGCTTACTTTTCCCTTTTATAAAAACTATTTGTGTCACTAACTTCTTTTCAGAAAGAGGATTTTAATAGTTCTAAAAGGGGCATATTATTTTCTTGGTATTTTTAATCAGATAATTATTACAAATTTAATTGATTTTTTTTTTTTAATATCCAGCTGGAAGTCCATTATTGACCATCTTTTGACTCATGAGAAAACAATGTTTAAGGATTTAATGAGTAAGTTCTGTGTTACTTGCACATAGGCCACACTTTAAAAGGACAAGAACGTCATAGCCCACTTTTACCTTGTATCTCAGACCCCTGCTCAGACCCCGAGCCACAAACTATAATATGACATCAGGAGTAAGTAAATGAACAGACCTGTCATTTACTTGTCAGTAGTTCTATTTTATTGACAAGAGTGCCCTGACAACCTTTTAATTTTTATAATGGAGAAATACTGCTGAAAACAGGTTCACATCTTGACGTTTGTGTTGAAAGTAATGTTTTCCATAATTTATTAGGAGTACTTTCTTAGATCCTCTTCTAGTGCTCTATCGTTAAGTATCATTAAAGAAATAAGTTTTTTTTTAAATACTCGTGTGTCTTACCACATGCCCTTACTTAACGAAGGTGATTTTTCACCAGAGAATGTAGAAATCACACTGATAGGAATTGCCTGTCACTTACCTCTGACTGTGGTTTCCTCACAAAGTGAAACATATTTACTGTATTTGTTCTAGACATGCAGAGCAGTTCTTTAAAACTGTTCTCAAGTTTTGAGCAGAAAGCCATGCTGTTAAAGCGCCAGGCTTTTGCTGTCTTCAGTGGAGAACTTGATCAGTACCACCTTTACCTTCCGTTGATACAAGGTAAGCTGACTGTCTTAGTCCATCTTGTGCTTCTGCAGTAAAGTACCTGAGCCTGTGTGATTTATAATGAGCAGAAATGTTTTAGCTCCAAGTTGTGGAGGCTGGGAAGTCTGGTGTCCAGGGGCTGGCACCCGCCAAGGGCCCTGTTGCCATGTTGTCCCGTGGAAGAAGGCAGACGGGCAGGAGCACAAGGGGCCTCAACACACCCTTTTACAACAGCACCAATTCCACCCCCATGGGGCCTAATTGCCACTAAAAGACCCTGCCTCCTGGCTGGTGCAGTGGCTCATGCCCACCCATAATCCTTGCAGTCTAGGAGGCCAAGGCTGGTGAATTACAAGAGCTCAGGAATTCCAGACAAGCCTGAGCAAGAATGAGACCTTATCTTTACTAAAAATAGAAAAACTAGTTGGGCATTGCCATAGGGACCTGTAGGCCTAGCTACTCAGGAGGCTGAGGTAAGAGGATTGCTCAAGCCCAAGACTGTGAGGTTGCTATGAGCCATAATGCCATGGGACTCTACCTAGAGTAACAAAGTGAGACTCTGTCTCAAAAGAAAAAAAAGACCCTACCTCCCAATTCAATTACATTGATCATTAAATTTCAATGTGAGTTTTAGAGGGGACATTCAAACCATGAATGGCCAACCCTCCACCCTCACCCAAAGATAGACCTACGAGGGGCTGAGGTGGGCAGCTAGGAAGGAAGCCCACCATGCATCCTGGCATGATGGTGTTATTCAGAAATAGATTTGTAGGCTCAGCGCATATAGCTCAGAGACTAGGGCATCAGCCACATACACCAGGACTGACAGGTTCAAACCTAGCCTGGGCTGCCAAACAATAATAACAACTACAACTACAACAACAACAAAAATAGCTAGGGGTTATGGTGGGTGCCTGTAGTCTCAGCTACTTGGGAGGCTGAGGCAAGAGAATCATTTAAGCCCAAGAGTTTGAGGTTTCTGTGAGCTGTGGCACTACAGCACTCTACCGAGCGCGACAAAGTCAGATACTGTCTCAAAAAAAAAAAAAAAAAAAGAAAGAAAGAAATATATTTGTAAATCTGAAACTTTATTTTAAAACTTCATTATTGGCTCGGCGCCTGTGGCTCAAG